TCCCACGGAGATTTTGCACGATGCGCTGTATATGCTTTACTTTTAGGTAATTTCTCTTTTTAGCATATTCACTTTTCATATGAATATAGTAATTATAAAATCTTTTGTTATCTTGTTAGAATTGTATTGAAGAAATCGATGGAACACACGTGGATGCACGTGTTCCAAATAATGTGAAGATTGCATTCATCAGTCGTTGTGAGTCACCGACGCAGAATGTCATGATCGTATACGACTTCAACTTGTGCCTCACTTTTATCATGTCCAGTTGAGAGGGCATTGCACATGAAAGTTGAATTTTCAAATCTGCAATACAAAATATGATATACAACTTCTCACATCCACCTGCAGGTTGCTTGAGACTGAGCTGGTCTCTTTTTTTTTACTTCAACACTAATCATTCTATAAACACAAGGTAAATGATATTTGGTCGATGCTGGGTTTTCGTTGCAGCGAGGGTATCTGAAGCTCTATCCTGATATGAGATACCACTTACCTGATTATGAGCGAGCCAACAATATGACGCGGGTCAGGAAAGAAATGTTCAACAAAAAACACTCCTTACACGATGTCATTGAGATGACTTATGGTGTTTGGAAGAAGAAATGATTATACTTTGTGATGTGCCAACTTACCTGTTTCGCACACAGGTACAAATTGTGATTGACACGATGACTCTCCATAATTATATTTTGCGACATCTTTCCCGCAACAAATTGGCTTCCGTAGGGCAGATGAGGATCATGGATATGTCCCTGTTGAGGCATATGAGTATCGGTTTGGATAGTCTTTGTCACAGGTTAAAAATGATGTTCCCGAGACTTGCACTCAAGATGGGGAATGTGCAATCGGGATGACAGTTAAGTGAACGAATTACATATGAGATAGTTGTAGGGTGATTGAAGGGAATGTTACTTTTTATTTCTGTTAATTGTCTTGGTTGTTAAAGACATTCATTATTTTTTGTATTTATATTTTATTCAGTTCGTGTATAATTCTGTTTCTTATGCATTTTATATTTTCTGCGTTCGTTTTTTTAATGCAAGTTGTATATGTTTTTTTCCTTTTGCGTTTTTTTTATTTTTTTCTTTTTGTGATTTTTGGAGGTCTATGATGAGGCGGTTGACCTAATAGGTTCTTCTAGATGACATTTTTGTCGTTATTGGTTGGTGTCACATGTAAAATCTTAATGAAGGCAACCAAGTTCATTTTTTTCGGTGCTATGGTTTTTGAGGCTTTTTTGGATGATCTTTTTTGGTGATGTGTATATATGACACAGACAAGTTTGATATTACGTGGGTTAAAGACATTCAAGAACTCTTTTTTTATAAGGTCTGTTGTCTTATTGTACAGATTAGTTGGTTTACATATCGAGCTCTAAGACCTCATAACTGTATAAAACTCTAACTAATTACTTTTGTTATTATTTTTTACTAGTGCTATGTCTAAGAGTTTGTATTTTTAAGTCTTTAGGAATTATGAGCTTGAGGATTTATGGTACCTTTGGTGGATTTTGGTATTCTCTGCTTTTTCTTGTACGGTTCGTGAGCTTTGCTCTGAATAGACCCTATGACTTGCATTTTCATTTTTTATTCTGGAATATTTGCATACTTAACATCCAAAGCAGTTACGATTTTACTCTGGCTTTTCTCTGTTCAGTTATTGTTTTTGAATGTGAAAACTGGTCTAGATTTTTTGCAGAAATCAACGTTTCGATTGTTGTGTATATTTTGAATATGTGGGGGTGTTTTTCTGGTGAATTTTGTCTTTATAATGAGAATTAATAAAAAAAGGCAAAAAAATAGGAAAGGAGAATGTAGTGAGAATATGGTTTTCTGTTTGCTTTATTATGTTCTTAGGGCGGTGTTGATTGCACTCACAATCACTTGGAAATATAAATGCGTTGTTTGGAATGTGTATGAGCCATATATTTATGAGTGAAGGTGATGACAATGATGTTGTGGATGTGTTGGTGTGTGGAGGAGGTGGTGGTGGTGTTGCATGTGGAGGTGTTAGTGTGTGAATTTGTTTGTGTAGATTTTGAGGTATCGGTGCAGGCTGGTTTGTTTGTGGAGGCGGTGGTTGGTGTGTGGTTGTGTTTGCGTTGAAGGATATGTTGGTGGATGTGTAGAGGTGGTGGTAGTGGTGTTGTGGTATGGTGGTGGATGTGGAGAGGTGGTGGTAGTGGTGTTGTGGATGTGTTGGTGTCGTCAATGTGTGGTGGGTGGAGGTGATGGTAATGGTGTTGTGAATATATTGGTGTCTTGATGTGTTGATGTGTGGAGGTGATGGTAATGGTGTTGTGGATATGTTGGTGTCTTGATGTGATGATGTGTGGAGGTGGTGACAGTGTTGATGTGTAGGTGGTGTAATTGTGTGGTGTAGTGTGGAGGGGCATTGGTGATGTTATTGTGGCATTCTATTTTATTTTGAGTTGTGATTGTGACATTTGTATTTATGTTAATTAGTTTTTTTTTATGTTAGTAATACAATGATGGTTAAGACAAAAGAAGCCGACTCATCTGTAATGTGGGATAAAGAGACAAAAATCATTTGATTATGTGCTCTTATGGTTTTTCCTAGATGACATGTATGTCACTGTTGGTTATCACATGTGAAATCCAAATAAAGACAACTAAGTTCCTCTTCTTCTTAAGTGTTATGGTTTTTAAGGTTTTTCTGGATGACTTTTTTTTGGTGATATGCATGTGTGAGACACGAGCTCGGTATTACGTGGGTTGAAGACAACCAATAACTCTTTTTTATAAGTTTGTTGTTTTATTGCAGTGAAAAATTTGTTGGATTTTATACTGAATGCTCTGAAACCTCATAACTGCATAAAAATTTAATTAATTTTTACTAGTATCTAAGGATATGTGTTTTTAACCATTTAGGAAATATGAGTTCGAGAATTTCCGGTACCTCCATAGGATTGCGCTGTTGCTGCAGACTACAATATTCTCTGCTTACTTCGCGGCAGCCACGTAGCTACAAGAGACAGTTTTACGGGTGTTCAAGAAGAATCACATAAAATTGTTATTATTTTAGGTGGCTAGATGGGCTGGAAGATTATACCGCTAAGAGTGATTGGTCATAGAGAGTTTCCCTGGATGACGACTTATCTCGTGACATACACCATTTGCATTTTAAAAATAATGTTATATTATTATTAACTGTTATTTTAATAGTCATGTTATTCACTATTTAGTGAGATATCTATCTTTATTTTGTAATATTGTATTCTGAATTTTTTCTTTCAAGTATGAAACATACTGTTATAAACAGCTTTGTTGCAAACAATATTACAATACAGGGGTATGCTCATTTGTTTAGAAACAACTGCAACATAGTTATTTTCAAACTGCAGAAAACAAATAGATAATCGGCTTATCCGCAGCAGCAGCTTATTAGTAAGCTGCAGTTGCCCCAAACAACCCTTAGTTACTTTGCAGAGAACATGTTGCTTGTGCTCCACTTTGTATCAATTGAAGAAGACCATGTCAAAGATGGACCAAGATTGTGTATTGCTCATGGCACTGTTTGTGTCCTATTTATTACTAGTTGGTGATAGTAAATTTTTTTTTTTTTTCTTATATTTGACTTAAAACGCCTTATTATATTTTCATAAGTTTGATTTATTTGAGGGTTTTTAAATAGCATCATCAACATTAGCCTTGGCGTAACTCGGCCCATGCTATTAATTTTTATTTTGCATTCTTTCATGTTAAGTGCTATTTGAGATGTTAAAATTGTACTTCATAAATCATTTTGAATAATCTCTATCTATATAATTTTAGATTTAGCTTTTATACCTTCTTGATTCTTTGAGAGTGATTTTATCAACTTGTCTAATGGGTACATTTTTTACCATTCATTGTATACGTTATCATAACTTTAGGGGATTTTCTTGGCCACATTGCTTAGGCTATTCTCAAATATATTCATTTCTAAGTTCATTCTTCGTAGTTTTGCCATACATCCATCTTGCATTTGCATTTTCGTCACACTCATTTTAGATATCAATGATTTTTTAAGGCCTTCAGATCCATACAACTTTATTCCTAGAATTTACATTTAATCCTTATTATACTCTTTTATCATGCAAAACTCCCACTTCTCCAACGATGTGCTCTTATTATACTCTCTTTAACATCTTGCCTTTACTCTATAATGCTATTATTTTCAATGATGTGTTCTTTAACTGAGTATGTGCTTTGTTTGCACTTCACGTTTTAAAGCCAAAACCCTTCTGCATGATGCCTTCCAATTTGTGCATTGACAACCTTAGTTTTATCAAGTATAGATATATTAATGGTCTACTATTTTTATGCCTGTTTCAAATTCAAACCACAGGCCTATCGAGGAAGCTGTCACGGAGAGGCATAGTTAAATTTGGAATTTATGTCAAATATGAACATTCATGGTTCTTCGTAATGATTTTTGTCTAAGATGCCAAATTTTTGTAATGTCACTTGCCTCATCTCTGTATGGTTGGACCATGTTTACTATGGAGACAATGCCCTTTCATTTTTCCAAGGTGATGGATGAAAGGTAACACCTTGAGATCGGGGAACAATTTATATTACATAAGATGTATGATAATTTTACATAGAATACGCTGTTGGTTGCATCTTTCAGTCAAATTACTTGCAATAACATAGAACTGCATTGGTCATACCCAAAAATATCTTCTTCTACCTGTATTTAACGTGAAGTATGGATATCCACAGGTACTTGAGTGAAATACAGCTCAGAAAATCGGTAAAAATGCAATAAATGAGTTTGATGCTAATGCCTCTCAAGTTTGATTTGCCATAAGATAAAATTAACAGTTATATTTTAAAATAAAAATTAAAGAACATTGTCTAATGCATCTTACATTAATGCGCCTTAGATCATGGAACATAGTTAATCATTAAGCATATAAATTGATATTCAGCGCTTCAGATTCCTGGTTCTTTTTTACATTCAATTGATAATATTTCTTTTTATTTTTCCAGGGGAAGGCAAGTTCTATGGTGGCTGTCGCCTTATGCCCAAAACCAGGATGGAAGGTCTGCTTTTCATAGTTGTGATATTTCTTATTCTTGTTTTCTATGTTTCCTTTGTTGATAAATTGATGTTATGTAACCTACAGTATAATCAGTTCTCATCTGAAATAGAATTGAATGCCTCTTTAGCATATGCTTTAATTTCCATTTTGTTTCTATGTTTCCAAAGATGATGTTATGTAACCTAATCATATATAGCTGGACATCTGGATAGAGATAAATTTTATGCAATTTTATTCATGAAATTAACTTTATTTACAAATTGTACTTTAAGATGCCACCAAAAATTAGCTTAGTGTTTTGATAATGCAAGTCTTATTCATTTCTTTAATTAGTTTTGTTGTTTTTTGCACCATTTTATATTTTTACCAACTCTTTCTTTTCTGATTTGGAGAAAAAGGTCAAAAATGATCCTTGGATTATTTATGAATGGTTATTTTAATCCCATATTATCCAATGTGTCTAATTTAATTCTTGGGCTCCTCAACTTTAATCCAAAATAGTACCCTTAATCTTCAAATTTGATTTAAAATAATCTTACAGAAAAATTATTTTTTGATCATATATTTGATGATTCAAGAGACTAAATTGAACATATTCAATATCTGGGACTAAAAAGCTCATATACAAATAGTCCTGGAATCATTTTGATATTCTCCTCTTTTTGGTTGTGTAGGTTCTTGATGCTTGCGCTGCTCCTGGAAACAAAACTTCTCACCTCGCTGCACTCATGAAAGGCAAGGGAAAAATAATAGCATGTGAAATTAACAAGAAAAGGCTCATACACTTGGATGATACTATCAAACGGTCAGGGGCACTTAGTATCCACAATTTTTTTTTTTAATTTTGTTTTATATGAATTAGTTATTATAAAGTTCGGTTGTACTGGTATCCTTCCATTGAAATTTTCTTATGTTTGAGTTTGACCGTATGATTCTTTTCTGGATACCGCTGTGCCGAAAGACATGCTTCTGAGTTGGTATTTTGCTGCAAAATCATTACATAAATTCATTGTGTTAACCCGATGGAACGATTGAAAGGTTTATGGTTTTGGGATAATTGTGAGCGGTGATTTGAATATAGCATTTCGTCTATTTGATCCTTCTTGAAACCCTCATCTGGCAAATTTATTAAATTCTCACTTGATTTTGTGTAGGATCGCTTAAATGTATGATGGAAAAATACTCATAGTGGTCTAAACCTTACAAAGGATATAGCTAGCTCTATTTGGCTAATATGTACGCTGGATGCTTTAAAGTATATGACATGATATAAGATTTGTAGGCTTCATTACTTTGTTGTTTTTCCCTTATCGCTAGAAAGGAAAAGGCTTTGATGATCTCGATTCTTATGATATTTTTCTTGATAAGTGGGTTGCACTAAAGTCTATTACATCCAGGATGGCTGAATCTTATAGCAGAAAGGCATGGCAATGAAAATAATTTATTAATGTCAGCATGATTTATTATTTTTAGAATTTCTTGTATGTATGTGCTTGTGTAAGCATATTGTATGACTTAACTTGATTTGCAGATATAGAAATTATTCATCGTGATTTTTTGGATATTAATGATAGTGAACCCTCGTTTTCAAAGGTATTCAGTAGTGCTTCAGTTTGGTTTAATGGCAATCATTTATGTTAGTTCGAAAGCTATTTATATTGTTGCAATGTTTCTACAACAAAATGGTCAACCAGTTCAGAAACTTTCATTTGTTTTTAATTGTTTAATGCAATCATTTTCATAGAACTTTTTTTAATGCATTTATGATACATCATGTTGTTAAATTATGGTACTTTTTTAACCATTTTAGTACAAAGTTTATCATTATTATCCTGTAGGCATTGTTGGAAGTCCTCATGAATTTTTCTTCGCCCTTGGGCATTTTTATGAGAGCTGAATGGATAAAAATTAACACTCATCTTACATTGTGAATGAACAGATGCTAAATTGATGTATTATCCTCACTATAATCTGCTTCATTTTTGGCATCATTTATCCTTATCTGAACTATTTCGGATCTGCTTGGAGCTATCCTCCATGCATATATGTTGAGTGTTATATTAGACATTAACTCCATTACGTGCATTATTTTGTACAATTTTTAGTCATGGTAGCTTTTGTCCATCTCTTTTCTTTCATAACATTTTACAATTTGTATTCACTAATTCTATTGATATTATTTCTACTCTATAACACATGCCCTAGCCACCTAAAACTAGTTTCTACTAATTTATTTCCAATAGCTATTTTGCCAATAATCTCTCTTAAAATTAGCCCTTTCTCACTCTATTAGTTTTATTTTATCACATTATTTTATGACGCACAACCTGGCTAGTAACATTGTTTTTTGTTTCCTGGCCATTAGGGACAAATAATATAGTCTAATGATTATTTGATGTAATTTATTTTAAAGTATCAATATAGATTATTTTGTGCCACTGCGTACTCTTAAAATACTTTTTCCATTTTAAATCCATCAATATTAACTCTACAAGTTATGCCTGTCCTTATCCCCATTCTTTTGAGTGATTGATCCAAGATATTTTAACTTGCATCTATTTATATTGATTGCTAATTATTAATTTTGTGGATATTAATGAATTCATTTCATTTATTCAATTTTTTTACTTTTCTTGACTCTATCTACTATTTCTACTTTACCTACTTTGAATGAGGTTTAATTTGACAAGGTATTATAATTTTTAGATAGAATGCACTAAGGTATCTCATTTTAATTATTTTTTGTAAGAATCTCTATAGCAAATGCAAAAAGATACAATCTCGATGTTAATTCTTCATTTAACTTATTAATTGAAATTCATTGGTTAGTACTTTAGTACTAGTGTTGGTTCTCATCATCATCTTTACCATCATCTATCATCACAATTATTTTAGGTCAAATAACTATTCTATCATACATAGTTATATGAACTTCAATATATTTTTGACACATCTTTTCTTACTAATTTCTCACTATAGAAACTATTTCGATACTTAATTTTATAATTTTTCGAAATCAGTAAGACCATTTGAAGATCCTGTTTTTCTTGGTCTTTTAAATTTTTTGAAAAAATTTGCGGACTACCTCATTATTTCTGGCAACTCTAAAGTCTTAATTGGTATCTCATCTTGAAATAGAGCCTTACCTTTATTTATATTTTTTTTAAATAATCATTTCATTTCTTTTGGAATAATTTATGATGGAGAAAATTACAGTTACCAACTTGTGAAATTTAGATGGAAGATGAATGAAAATTTTGCTCTCACAACTTGGATAAATTGATAGAGAAGAGCACTTATAACTAGCCTCATTCGTAATTCATTAATTAATTAATCAATAATGTAATGTCCATAAAAGAACTCTTGTTTTTTAAGGAAAAATAACCCTGAGATAAACGAAGAATTATGCTTTATTGTATCACCTAATATAATAATGATATTATGCTTATTTTTTCGTTTAATATAACAAAAAAATAAAAATTAAAGGTAAGGAAAGAATTCAGTTTAAATTGATGAGGGGTCTAAAGCCTTAACAATTTTGGTTGGGTTGCTTTGTCGCCTTGTTTGATTCATTGTGATTGGCCTATGAGAAACTGATTTTACATACTAAATAAGTTGAATGAATAACAAATCTTTGTTGTGTTGCATCAATTGAGTTGGTTCTCCAAGAACTAGTTTTCAAAGATTTTATAGGTGGCATCAAAGGTAGAGAAGATGGCACATTATGTATCATTAAATGGAAGAGGAACTCATGCAATACAGGAGTAACCCCATCAAAAAGTTGAAAGAGTGATTCTTGAGCATTGGACGACTGTAAACTTTATACATCTTTGACATATCTGTAATGTGGACTAAAAATGGAATAAGTGATGGTGGTTGCAGTGATGGCACAACTCTGTCTTTGGTTAGTGTGCTTGATGTAAACCATAATCATATAATGTAGCATATATCTTAAGATTTAGTGACAAGTGATTGAGCCAAGCAGACCTACAAAAAGTTAGGAAAGTTCAATTTTAAACTTTGGTTTACCTAAAGGTATCTCAACATTATACAACAATGAAGCTGCTCGAAATGCTACTCAAACATTCTTAGGCTCAAACACTTGAGTTTTGCCTTAATCTCCGGTGTTAGCTCAGATTCGACTAAGTTCTAATATTATACTCTGGTTTTTGGTGGCCCGTGTTACTCACACAATCCATTTCAGCATTAGTAACATGTTTGTCATCATTCATTTTTTCATATTGACTGTCATCATAGAGAGAATGATCATACAGTTATGAGACATTTTGAATTTGATAAAGTTTTATTTTTTGTGGGGCTAAAGGAACATGTGGATCCTATAATGGATTGCGTGAAAATGGAGGGAAAAGTTTTCATTGAAGATGTAGAGGAGGTTTTTAAAACTTTTGAAAATGGTATAGCTTACCATAAAAAAAGATGATTTATGTAATCTAGAGTTTCTGGTCTTCATAATCATAGTCAGTATATGAATCCTAGTTTGAAAACAAGGATCAATTTCATTTTCATCCGCATGAGGAGATTTGAAATATAAGATCAATATCTACAAGAATAACCAGATGAGAATGCTAAAGATGAATTTCATAATTTGCTTTTTTTTGTGTATAATAATATGATGCTATTGAAATTTGAGAGATGGAGCTTCTTCATTATAAGAGAGTTCTATAGTAAGACCTTCTCGCTTTACTTATTCAATAAGGCCAATTGTTGTGTTTGAGAGGGAACGGTGCAACAAAGCGTTGTGGGGAATTTTTTCTTCCTGGATGGTAGTTGTGGACAATTGAGAAAGAACCAAACTGCCTTGCATTTAAAGGATTGTTTGAGGAGGTTGTTGGTGAAAGCTTTGGTTAATTGTTAGGAATTTAAGATTTTTGGTGCGGATGTCAATGCTCGGTGTGAGACAAAAGTTTGGCAGTTGATTGGATTGATGGAAGGCTATGGTTGCCTTTGTTTTCACCGACAAGGAGACCATTTGACACTATTAGAGCTCTTTACTGACAAAGTGTTCTAAAAGCTCTGAGCTCTTGGAAATGTCTTTTAAGGGTAATTATAGTAGAAAGTACGGATGAAAGAGGTATGGAAGAGTTATGAGGCTGAGTCATGTTGGATTTCTGCCTGTAGTTGATGAGGGGAGATGCAAATTAGTGAGATTGCATGTAAGAATAGTGTATTGCTGTGAGGAAGATGAGTAGGACACGATGAATTATTTGACGTGATCTATTGCGTTTACACGAGAAGTTTATGGCGTTTGGGCTGAAATTATGGAATTTACAAGGATCAGAAAAAATGTATAGTCAATGTGGGAGAATATGCCAAGGGTTATAGGATTATTTTGTGTGAGAGGTTATGTGATTTGGGATTTCTTTGAGCTGAGAAAGGTTAGGATTGTGGTTTGTGTTGGTTATGGTTTGGGTTGGGTTTGGTGTGAGGATGTGGGATTGGAGTGGAAATTATGATGAATGAGGGGTTTTGCTATAGAGTGTGAAATGACAAGATTTAGTGGATTTGGGATTTATTTATTTATTTTGCATGGTGATGAAGTGGAGTTGGTTATGGCATGACTTTTTGAAAATAAACTTTACACCTTGGAAATACGAATCCAATAATTATTGGTGAAAAATATTACATGATCTAATGGCAAATCAATGGAGAAAGATTTGCAAAGAGTTATAGAATGTTAGCAGAAAAAGAAAGAGGGAGATGAATGGATGTACACAGACATAACTTGAATTAAATTAGAGAGAGAAGAGAACTTATAGTTTTGCACGTCAACAATTCATTCATCAATTGATCACCAATGAAATGTCTATACAAGCAATCCTATTTAAAAAAAAATAACTTTTAAGATAAGTATGAAGTTGTATTTATATGTGTGACCTAAATTAAGGATAATTATGCTATATTTATTTTTTTTAAAGCTAACTGGATAAATTAGATTATGATGTGAATGCAATACGGGAATTTACTGCGAAATGTCAAGTGCATAAAGAAAATTATAATAATACCAAAACATATACGAAAATATTCATTTGATTCGTCTAGCTTGAAGCCTTGTGAAAATAGTATGTTTTAGATAAATTTTCTTCTGATATCTAGCTCTTATGGCATAAAGAACATGGAGCCTCTTATTAAAGAAAGAGTTGATACTTTGAATGGTTCCAATCAGAATCTGAAATTTGTTGTGATGAATAATGATCATTTATTTTGTTTATAAATGGAATAAGATTGATACATTTCAAGAACTTGTGGAATATTATGGGTGATTATATCAATAGTTGATGTATTTAACAACACCAAAGGGTTAGTTGGAGTATCAGCCATTATCCCTAGGAGAGAATTTGATATGGGCTTCAGATTTTGGGAACAAACTTGAACATATGAGGGGGATCTTCCACAAAAGGGTTATGAGGAACATTTTGAGTATCAAGTGGAAGGTCTTTTGTAAGAAATTTAAGATTTCCCTCCTTAAGGCGAGCTTTGAAATATTTAGAGATTTTTTGCTGAAAAAGATAATAAGATGGGGCATTTAGATGGAATATTTTTATTCCACCTTCTGCCAGCATCCAAACGACATAGGCTCAATTCACACACTATGAAGAAGGGTTGTCATGTCTATTTCCACCTAGAATCTTAAAGCTATTGGACCTAGTAAGATGAGCTATCTAAATTTCTACTTGTAAAGTCTTTCCAAATCTATAGGCCAAAGATAGTCAGGTAGACTGGGATGATTTAGTGCAATTAAAGTCATGGAAATAAGATCAAAATAGGAGTGATACGAAGTTTCATAGAGCAAGCCAAATATGAGGGAAATTTTAAAATATGCATCAAGAGGCTATTGATATGATATGAATGATGTGAGAGTAATCTAATGCAATTAGCTTCTAAATAAAATCTTTTGATGACATGTTGAGGGTCAATGAGAACATATGTGTCACATGTTAGTGGTAGGGCTCTATTTATAGAGTTCGGGTTGTAAATAAGGAAGGAGTCTAGACCACTTTGATAGAATGATCCAAAGAGGTTTCCTCATTTCTGCGGGCATTTAAATGTCTTAATGATATCAAAATTGAGTGATCTTGGACTCTTTGAGTTTGTATTGACTTGACCATGAACTTGTCAGATTTGAAATATGTTTAACCTTCCAATTAAGCATCGAAAGCTTCTAAAAGTGGTTTAATGACTTCATCTGGGCTTGATTTCACTCAGATTTGACCAATTTTGGTATCATTGGGTCCGTCTCGTTGACCCGTCATTTTGACTATAAGTTTGTTGAAATCATAGTTCTAGATGATTTTTAACTGAAGCTTGAACCTTTCTTGCTCAAAACATTGCTCCAAGATTTATGTCATTTATCGAGATTCATGCTGACTGATGAAAATTTGTTGATGGCACAACAATAACCAATTTGTAATGGTTAATGGGCATTAGAATTTGATTATTCTGTTGTAGTCATTTAAAAGAACATAAAAATGAAATATTTGTTAAATGTACCATTGCAAACCAGAGAGAAAAACCAGCAAAGTTTTCGTTATTTTTTCTTTTGCCAGCAAATATGCATGCTTTAAACCTGTTTTCTCATTTGTTAACTGCAGATTCGAGCCATTTTGTTGGATCCTTCTTGTTCTGGTTCTGGAACGTCCACTGAAAGATTAGATTATCTGCTCCCATCGTATTCCACAGGTTTATGTCCACCACCTTACTCATGTTTATCTTTGTAGTCGCTGTTTAATTTTTTACAGATGTGGCAAACATGTTGTCATGCCTTTCTTTAGTCCATCAGCTTAGGTTTTCCTCCGTTTAGTATAGAAATGCAGTTTTTTGCCTAGCATTGCTTGACCAGTTCTTGTCAAACATTTTTATGTATTGAGGTTGGGACCTCCTTAGTTTAGTTAGCCCCACTAAAGTCACGAAATTTGGATCTTGCCAGCAGTGTTTGATCCTTCGATTGCTGATTTATGTTTGGAATTTATATTTCAAGTCAATCAAACATTGGATTCAAATGTGTGAAACATTAAACATATTATCACATCCAATTGTAAAACTTCAATAAGAAACCATCGATTTCAATTTTACAAGAATAGAAATTTATTGTGTTCGTTAGCAATGCAGTGGAATTTGTTATGGTTTTGAAGCTTATACATTTTCACGTGATTCTATTAATTTTTGTCTATTTGAGGTTTTCTAGATTTTGTTATATTTGCAGCAGTTTACAGATTTATGAATATACACTTGATGCGTCATCAATAAATTTTTTGTCATCGGACACGAATCACGAGGAAATTTTGAGCAAGAAACATTCAATATTCAAATTCAAGATCATCCAAGTTCTCAATTTCAGCATGCTTACAGTCAAACTGACCGTCTCGGCAAGACGAACCTGATGATATCAAAGTTAGGTCAAGCCAAGTTCAATTAAGCCCATATCAAGTCATTAAAACACACTTGGAGGTTTTTTATTATCCATTGAATTGTAAAATGAACTCCAAATTTGACATATTTAAATTCAAATCAAGTGTCACGATGAGTGCAATCCAAGAAGCCTAAGTTCGCTTCATGTTGAGGTCATTAAACTTTTGAGATCATTAAAATAAACCTTGTGATTAAGAGGGATCAATGTAGGTCATTCAATCAGGTGGTTGGGGAAGTTATTTGTCAAAAGACTAAAATGCAGAAGAAAATAAATTTCAGAGCCTATTTTGAACTAAAGACTCAACAATAACTTGACTCCATAACTGCCGACCACGTTGGTCGTCATCAACAATCGGCGACCTCCTTTGCTAGTTGTCATCGACTACCTTTACTTGTTAAAGTCGTATGTCAAATATGGTCGTAACATATAACTTTCTATGGAAGACTCGATAACTTTCTGCATCTGTAGCCACCGACCACCATCGACCATTGTCAGTTAGCCACCTGTCGCCCTTGCTCTCCTTCGCTGGAGACCCCTGCTTGCTAACATTGTATCCCAAATTTGACCGTAATTTATAATGTTTTATGAAAAACTCTGTGATAACATTTAACCTCCATAGTCGCTGTCCATTGTCGACCATTGTCAACTGTCGCCACATATTACTGCCGACCACCAACCATGGACGACCACTGTTTATGACTGTTGTAGCTAGGGAATAACCATTTTACCTAACTCTAGTTTCTTTCTTTACGTTGAATACTGAAAAATGTAGCGTCTAATGTAAAACTGGAACCCCGTTCTGAAAGAAGAGGTCTGGTCATCGATAACAATCTATATGAACAACTACTATTACAACTTCTAATTATAACTTATGTGGTCAACTGATGATATTTTTGTCATCAACTACGACCAATATAACCAACTGCTACTGTTATAGCTTTCAACTATGAATTTTGTAGTCAACTGATGCTATTGCAGTCACCAAATACGTCCTATGTTGACAACTACTAATGTTACAACTTTTACCAACTAACGCTATTAAGGTCATCAACAATGACCTATGTGGTCAATTGACGATATTGCAGTCACAAACTACGGTCTATGCCGTTAATGAACACTGTTGTTGTCACCAACTACAACCATTATGCCCAACTGATAATATTACAACTTCCAAACACCACCTGGATGTGTGAAAATCAACCACGACTTTTGTGGCTGATTAATGCTATTACAGCTTCCAACTGCAAGTCTTTGTGGCTAACTGTCATTATTATAGTCATCGACTGCAATTTTTGTGGTAAACTATCTTTGTTATAACCTAATTATGATTATTATAGTTGAACTATTGTAGTATATATATATAATTATCAGCTTTATAATTCCATCTTTTCTAATTTATGAGAAGATTGGATCTGTGTACTTACAAACACAATGAATTACTTTGACGAGGCTAGGCCTTGTTATTTTTTCTCTTACCAAACTTTTTCTACTTAAAAGATTTTGGTGTCTCTTCCTTCTTTTCAATTTTTTTTTGTGTTGAATCTTCGTACAATGTTAATACATTACATTATCACTCTGTCTTTTTGAATCTTTGGCTGTAATAATTTAGCGCCGTTTGTGGGAGACGAAGCCTCGTCTATAAAAGTCTACACTTTTGCAATGACTAACAAACAAAATACGTGAGCTTCTAGTTCAAACACTCGTCATCTAGGGTACAGCCTCAAAGTCCGGGGCACCAAGCCTCTGCTTCATTTCTCAATGTTACACATCATTTTGCTCACGAAGGAACCTTTTTTGCACATCTTAAAGATTGTGTACAAAGAATGGATGAGTTTCAAAATAAGCTACTTCGATTTTTATGCAAAGCTTAACAATCGATGGTTGTGCATACTGGAGGGCACAACTAACTCAAAATCCATCAATTAGTAGTATACAGTTTGCTCTCCCTCTACACATTAAAGTTTCTTCTCAGGGAGTTGATCTCTTGGACAGTACTAGCTCGACACATCCATCGCGTGTAGCCAAACATGGCAACAAACCTCCAACATGTGTGGAGAACTTAGTTTGACCTCAGATAATCCTTGATGAATTACTCTAATGCAAGAAGAGTTCCCTCAAAAGAATGTCTTTTCTCTGCTCAAAATAATTCTCAAGAGTCATGTTCGTTGGTTGAGTTTGTCCTTCAACATCTTATTCCAACATAATATTAAGTTTCTAAGCATTGATTCTAATGAAGGGGCATCTGACTTGTTTGAACATATTGATCACTTCAAAACCATGCTGGTGCGCTCCTTTATTAAGTATTTTTTTGTTGCTCTTAAAGGCCAAGCGCACATTTGGTTTTATTCACTCCTAGAAGGAATCATTCATACATTTGATGAACTTGTTAAATTATTTGTTGAGCTATTCATCACAAATTGAAGGATTTGTCGAGCTATCACATCTCTAAGATTCATGAAAGTGAGGGACATTTGTTGAAAGATCATTTTCAAAGTATTATTCGATGAGGGGGAGAACCCTTACTACAATGTTGAAAGGTGCTTCATGCAATGTCCTAGGCACGATTGTTGTGAAGTAGTTTTCTCGTATTTCATTCATACATCAAGTCTACAATAACCAATTCTAAATTAGGGGGAAACCTTTACTATAGTCTCGAAAGGTCGATCATGTTAACGTCCTGGGCATGATTTTAATGGGGTAGCATTCCCGCATTTCATTTCGACATCAAGTCTATGAAAATCAATTCTATATCGGGGGGCAACTTTTATTACAATTTTGAGTCGATACTCATGCCTACACCTTAGACATGACCACAAGATCAACCGGTGATCATATATGTCTAGCTAGAAAATACTCTCGAAGCACCCTCTTATCATACTGGCATTCTTTTTCAATTTGATCAAAAAGTTTTCTCAATTTTGGATACATGGGCTACTTTATACAAAATAACGAAGAAGTTGCCAAAGACCTTTCTTGAAGATGATTGCAACCATATTCCCAAGAAGTTGTATGGTCTATTTCGACCTACACTCCAGACTCGAGAAACACAAAACATTTCTGACACCTCATTTTGGGTTTAATTGGTCTCAAGCGGGCTCAATTCGACCGCTTCCATAACATGTTACGGTCGTCGAGCAATTGCAATGCTTCGACTAAACCGCATAAAAATTTTTAAAAATCTTTTGTGGATTACAATTAACCTCATTCATTGTAGGATAGGCTTGTCGAGCGATTGCTACGCTCCGACCAAACAACCCATGATAGGTCAAAAAACTTGGATTATAATTGACTTCTTACATAGCAAACTATGGTTGTCATGCCATTGGTCCTCTTCGACTAAACAACTTCAGATATGTCAAAAATCTTTGGTGGATGTCATCCGAACTCTTCTATAATAGGCTACGGTAGTCCAGTAATTAGTGTGCTCCTACTAAACAGTCTAGGAAATGTCAAAAATTCTTGGTGAATTTAGTTCGACATCTCTTTCATAACAGGCTACTGTCGGTTAGTGTATTGTTATGCTATGATTAAATAATCTAAGATAGGTAAAAAATTGTTGGTGAATTACATTTTACTTTGGAATACAGGTTACGATCATCAGGCTGAAGCTTCGACTAACATCCTAGGATGAGTTTAACATCCTTGGTGAATTTCAGTTTGACTTTGTTCATAATAGGTTAACACTATCAAAATTTTTTTGACACAAACTTTTGGCGGATTTAACATTCTTGGTGAATTATTCATGCCTTCTTATATGCAAATGACGTCAGATCAGACAAATATTCTTGGTTTATTATTCATGATTTCTTATGTACAAATAACCTCAAATCGGTCTAATATCTTTGGTGAATCATTCATGATTTCTTACATATAAATAATCTCAAATTGCTCTAACATTCTTAATGGATCACTCAAGGCTTCTTATATTCAAATGACCTCAGTCTAATGTAGTCTCTTGACTAGAGAATGTGTTAATGTTGATTCTTAACATTATCAATATTGTTGATGATTTTAGTCTGGTATGTTGAATGAAGTTAGGTCATTGCCTCCATCATAGACTGCCATTGTTATCGTCATCAGATCATCTTTCGGTTGTCACCATGTCGAATCACCGATGCCCGACCGTTGCCACTGTTGTAGTACACTGTCATCTTCAGTGGTTCATCATTTCTCGATTGCTGCTATGCCAGACGACGACAACCAACAACCCTCGTTGTTGTAGTACACTATCTTTGTCGCTGATTCATCTTCTCTATGTCGACATCGTCATAGTGTCAGACCATTGTCACAGGACCACCGCATATGCTCGAATGCCATCACTCAACTATTGTCCTTTCTAGATCACCGTCACCACTACCTGAATATGGACAGGCAACAACTGCTTGAATATGAGTGGATGACAATTGCCTGAATTTGAAAAGGCAATAACAACCCGCTTCAGAGAGGGCAACGAAAAACTTCGTTGGGAGAGGCAATAACTACTTAACGTTAGAAAAGACAACAACCACCTATGCTAGAAAAGGCAACAATAGCCATTGGGAGACAACAACAACCTATGTCAGAAGATGCAACAACAACAACTTACTTTTAAAAAAGCAACAACAGTTTACTTCTGGGGAGCCAACAACAACATGCTTCAGAAGACAACAACCTAGAAGGCTGGGTAACAATAGCCCAAAAGGGGAGGCAATTAAAACACATTTGGAGGTTTTGGATCGTCAATTGAACGTTCAAGTTTGACATATTTATATTTAATCTAGCGTCTTGATGAGAGAAATCGAACGAGCCTAAGCTTGCTTAAATTCGAGGTCATTAAGACTCTCAAATCATTAAAAAATCTTTTATGACCAAGGGAGATCAATGTAGGTCATCCGATTAGGTGGTTGGGGGAGTTATTCACCAGAAGATTAAAATTCCCTACCTCAAAGGCTATAAATAGACCCTCTCTTTTCACTTGAGAGGGGGTAGAAGATGAGAAGGAATTCTAGAACCTATTCTGGACTGAAGACCCGACGATAACTTCCGTCCTCCGTGTCTGTCGACCCCCGTGAACCTTTGCTTGCTAACATCGTTTGCCAAATATGGCTATAACGTATAACACTTTATTAGAGACCCAACGATAACTTCCAATCTTCATAGATGTCGAACACATCCTATCGGCTGCCTATGTGACCAATTGACGCTATGCTATGAGAGTCACCTACTACGCCCAATTGTGGCCATCTAATGATATTTCAGTTATCAACTATGACATATATGATCATCTATTGTTGTTACAACTTCCAACTACATCTTTTGTTGTCAAATGACACTATTGCAGTCGCCAACTACAGCCTCTGACCAACTGGTGGTATTGCAGCTTTCAACCACGACATTTATGACAACTACTGCTTGTTTGGCAATCAACTACGACCCATGTGGCCGAGTATTATTGTTACAACTTTCAACTGTAGCCTCAGTGGCCAACCATCGCTATTATTGCCATCGACTATAGCTTTCGTGATCATGTATATTTGTTGTAGCCCAATTAAGGCCCTTATAAACAAAATACTATTATACATTTATAATTGCCAGGTTTGTAATATTGACTTAGGGCGGGGACCCCAGACCAGTTTGGTCCAAGTGGGGGAGGGTCGGTCGGCCCTTTCTTTAGGGTTAGGGTTGCTGCCCACTCTTAATGGCATCATGGGTATTTTCATCTATTTGTTTTTATTAGGTTTAAAACTGTTGATTATAAATATTTAGTTGTTTATAGTATTAAGGTTTTTTTGTTCATTTGAGTTTGTGAGGACACGTGCTCCCTTTGTGGTGTTTGGACGGGGATGAGTCCTTATCCAGACGTTGGGTGGCAGCAGATATATCCCTCTGTCGTTGGTGGTGACATCCCTAGTTTCCTTCCTTCGTCATTCCTTCGAGTGATGATTTTTGTGTCTCAATCGGTTGCAAGAGCATGAAACTCTTGTATCTTGTATCTTTTATTTGAGTAGCGCTTCTTGTTTTTGTTTTGGTTGTTTCTTTTCCTGTCTCGGATTGCTTTCTTCATTGTTCTTGTTGAATCTTCTCGAACTCCTTTTCTCTGGTATATTCCATCTTCTTTATTCATGAGAAGAGTGAACATATGTACTTACAAACATATAGTGAATTACTCTGATTGGTTTAGACCCTGTGGCTTTTTCCCTTTCTTAAGTTTTTTTTTTCGTAAATAGTCATGGTGTCTTCTTCTGATACTTTTCAATTATCCGTGTGTGTGCTGGATCTTCGTGTAATGTTGAGACGTTAAATATCACTCTACCACTGCAAATCTTGTCACTCAATAACTCTAATTGTTTATAATCTTTGATTTAAGAGCTTAAAATATTTAATCATATATCGAATGCTTTATAAATGAAATGCCCGAAAGTTTCTGTAGAGATTAGGGACACTTTATTTTATCTTATTAATGCATATTTATATATTTCAGTTATATACTTAAATTTAAAATAAAAAGTTTAAAATAAAAGAACATATTCTTAGGTTCTAAGGCATATGCTTAGCTTTAGTATCATTGATTTACAATTCCCGCTTTTCAAGGAATGTTTTTTATATGCTGTCCTAATTTTAAATAGCAATATTATTTATTATAAATTAGTAAAATTATATAATTCTATGATTTTCCCATATTATTATGTTAATCTAATAGCTAATGATTTTCAATATTTTAAATGTGATTTTTATGTTTGAATAGGCTGATTTAATACAAATGCGCTGCATATTTTTTGCATAGAATTTTTTCTGGTGTAGTAAATTTATCCTTTTTTTAAGATCATTGTAATCAATTTTGATTTGCAGTAATAAGGATGTTTGTTCAATATCTCAATTTATAATAAGAAAACCGCATTTTGTAGAATTTTATCATTTCTAATTTAATCAATTCCTTTGCTTTAAAATTATTATTTTATCATGAATTAATTTCCATTCAATATCAATAAAAATTAGTTGTTTCTCTTTTTAATAAATGCAATATTTAATATAGCATTCAAATTAAAAGAAGATTAAATTTTCTTTTGATGTGTTTATTTTACTTGTTATTCTCAAAAATTGCTTTCCTTTAATTGTTTATTTGCACTGCGACGATTGGCCCTCTCTTGTTCCAATTCTGCTTTTCCAGTAATTGAGCGTCATGAATTATTGCTTTTATCTGATATAATTTCCAGAAAAACCATTACCTTTGACATAAAACTCTGCTATATGGTCAATTCGAATTTGGTGAATGTGAAAGTTTCTGTACATTGACAAATATTCTTGATAAAATAATAGTATTAGCCTGGTAAATATATGGACAAAAGGAATCTATTTAATTTTCTGTTTTCTTCATTTCTTGACAATGCCAACTTCAATAATTTATTACCAAGGAAAACAAAGTGCTAATAAGTATGAATTTATGCTTTCTGTTGGATGTGATAGATCATAAAGATGAGGCTGCTGCTAATAGTTCACGTGTGAAGAAGCTTGCCGCTTTTCAAAAGAAGGCACTTGCTCATGCTCTATCTTGTATGTCCTCTAAACCCACAGGGAAATTTATTTCTATGAAAAATTGTGCTTAATTTATAGATATTACATTGAAACTTATTCATTTATATTTAGTGTTATTTTATATTTACCCATGATCTGCATGCCTTTATTTTTACTTCATGTTGTTTGAATTTTCGCTAACCAGTCCTCAGCTTCATTCTTAGCTAATACTGATAAACCTTCTAGATGCTCTATTTGTGTTGCTATCCAAAAAACTGGTATTTGATTGTCTTCTGCAAATCTTTACAGTTCCTGCAGTTGAAAGAGTTGTCTATAGCACATGTTCTATCCATCAAACTGAGAATGAAGATGTCATCAACGCCGTTCTTCCTTTAGCCACCTCGCTCGGCTTCAAACTAGCTACTCCTTTCCCTCAGTGGCCTCTTCGTGGCCTCCCCATCTTTGATGGTGGTTAGTGATTCTACCATCAAACTTGCCATCGTCCTCTGAATTCTCCCTGATATTGTGATTAACAAAAAAGCAAGATTTACATGCATACCACTCAATTCAATTCTTATGTATTTACATCTCAATTCTTATGTATTTACATCTCTAACACCTAAATTTCAATTTTTATATATATGCCACCTTATCCATGCATGAAAGGTGTATTTCACTTTTTAAAAGTTAAGATAGAGATATTTTTACGTGATATGAATGACTTGGGTGGTGTGATTGTAAAAAGCAAATTTAGGCGTTAGATATGTAAATGCATGGCAATTGAGTGGTATTGATGTAATGTCCATAAAAAAAAATTGATGTCCTTCCATGTTTCTTCAGCTGAGCGTTTGCTGAGAACTGATCCATCCCAAGATACAGAAGGATTTTTCATTGCATTGTTTGTCAGGAAGCTCATTAGCCTTCCTCCTGCTAAGAAAAGACGGCTTATGTGCCGGAATAAAGATTTAAATCGAGGAAGAAAATTTCCATTTTTACCTACGAAGATTTCAATGATTTGGATGCGTAACTGGATGACGAACAAGAAGAGGTAACTGATATGAAAATTCTAAAACCATCTTCTATCTCAGAGCATTTTTGCAACCGTGGAGCAATCAAAAACAGTTAGAATTTTCCTGGCAAGTTAGCAAAAACTGAATATGGAGTAAGAATGGACGCTTTTTATTTATTCTTAGTGTTTTATAAATGGGGGCATTTATATACATACCACACTATTCTCATGTATTTACATATTTAACACCTAATAAAAAGTCTTTAGGCTAACAAGCACTTCCATGACTAGGATGAAAACCTTCTCGTGATGTTGGGTCAATGAGGCTTTCAATATTTTGAGAAGTAATGATAAGAAATGATAAATATGACAAAACAGAATGAAATCTATATAAAATGCCACATTTTAAAAACATGGCTCGCTTGTCATGATGCTTTTCATGTCAACTTGAGATGCGAATAAATGCTTAGAAGTACATGCATTTACTTTCCTACATTGGTACGATCTTGAAAATGCTTGTGGTGCAAATATTTACTTTCATATATTGACAGGATGAGTGGAGGATGTTTGCTTCTATTTTAAAAAAATTAAAATTATCATTTGATGCTTGGATTTGCTCAATTGAAGTGGCTCCTCCCTCATCTAATTATGTCAAACCGTTATTAGTCTGGGTAGATTTAAACTCTGTTTGGGGCAGCTTATCCGCTGCGGCGGCGTTTTGAAAACGTCGACTCACCATTTAGAAACAACGTTTGAGCCACTTATCCGAAAACACAGTTGATTTTTTACACACAACGTGGAACACAGATTTCAGATAAGCGGCTTATCTGGAAAAGCACAAGCTGCCCCAAACGTATTATTAGTATAGTGCTTAGTTTAAATTTGATCAATGGTCAACCTAAACTTGTATTTTGCTGATTAATTTTGTTGCTCAATAAACCATTACCTCTTTTGATTTTTTCTATCCATGCCCTCTGTCTGTAGCATCAGTGTAACATTCTCAGTGATTGTTGAGCATGATTTCTTATAACATGGCATCATATTAGCTTAGCTATATGTTACGGACAAATAATCTCACATCGGCTAGGTGTAGGGCTGAAAAACAGTATTTAAGACCTGGGCTGCCCACCTCTCTTAAGGCTCTTTTGGGAGGTGACAGTGGTATCAGAGCAGATTATTGTCTGTCAGGTGTGTGGACTCTCCATGGTTCAGTGGGATCCTCGGTGGAGTCGATCCGTGACGAGGGCGTCACGTGATTGGGTGCACGAGAATGTCACGGACAAATAGTCTCACATTGGCTAGGTGTAGGGTCGAAAAACAATATTTAAGTTCTAGGCTGCCCACCTCTCTTAAGGGCACTTTTGGGAGGTGACAAAATATCACTTGTCACCTCGGGCACTTTTGGGAGGTGACAAAATATCACTTGTCATCTCCCACCTAACCGATGTGGAACTATTTGTCTGTGACATATAGCTTGAATCCACTCGTCCATTAAATATATATCTCAAATCCACTCAACTGATGCTTTAGATTCTCCCAACCAATGTACAAGATCCATTTAGCAAGGTGTTGGATTTTCTATCTAGTTACAACTTAGATATATTGATAAGATATGTTGATACGATCATATAAATCCATTTAGTTACAATTAGAATTTCCACAAGTATATTATGAATCTTACCAGCCGTAACACACTTCATTCGTCTGGTCTTTGGTTTCTTTAAGTCTACTCAATTCGACTAAACAAGTGATATAAATGACATCTTCTAAAATTGACTAATCCTTACTTCTCGTGTTCTTTTGCTAAGCTTGCTAGTACCAGTAAAGTCCCACTGGGCTCATCGCCACCTACCTAGCTGCATCACCGAGCTCGTGGAACAGTTTTTAGATTCAGAAAAAAGAACCACATTCCATCACCACACATGTCTATTTAATGGACACCTAACATTCATGTTGAGGATCTTATCAACGGCCGATATACCCAAGAATCATACATTACGATTAATAATATATAGCCCTTTATTTATTCTTTAGGGTCCTGTGTGGGTTCTATGTTGTATATACATGAGATAAAGAGGGGTGAGACAACACTTCTACTTCTTTTCTCTTTTTTCCCTTATCATAATATAAGCGAAAAGACTCCTAAAATCTTCAGCTTCCTTTTGTATGGATTCACAGATTATACATCCTAAAATAATTCACTTTTGTATGGATTCACAGATTATACATCCTAAAATGATTCATCCTCCCAAAAAAAAATAAAAATAAAAAAATAAAAAAATAAAAAAATCATATATAATTTGTTCATCCTTACTTGTAATAGACACAAGTAATTGACACAATTGGGCATACTTTATTATTATGCAAATCATATAAAAATCTTATGTATCAAGCCCTTATTGCCTTTTCTAGCTTTTGGTATGCATCATAACCTACCTACAAAATCAAAATCTTCAAACTATTCTAAGCAAAACCAATTCTAAAGTTATGGCATAGATGTGAGATATAAACTATTAACCATAAATTAAAGTGCATTCCATCATTTGAAGAAATCAATAATCCTTTCAAATAAATCTTTCATACTATTTGTTGGTCACATTTTTTTTATTAGACTGAATTAAAATTTATGCTTTAATTGGCGCTTTTGCATAACACCCCAGCCATTTTCTATGTATTTACATATCTACCACCTAAATTTTACTCTCTTTTTTTTTTTACATTTATACCACCTAAAGTTTTTATGTGGCATAAAAATATCATTACTTTAACTTAAAAAGTTAAATATAAAATTTCATGCATGGGTATATGTAATTTATTTTTTTCATTTAATTTGATTTAATTGTGGATGGTGGATAGTGCTGTCAATAGGGCTCCTTGTTCGTGAACAGCTCGTGTTCGGCTCGTTCGTTAATTTAAAGAGTCGAACACAAACAACACGAATAAAATTTTTAAATTTTTAAAATAGAATAAAAATTAATAAATAAATTCAAATGATGTTTTAATATAAACAATAATTTTTAAATTTTACCCCAATCTTTAACATCTTATGGTTACGTGATTAGGGTTCTCAAAACGACTATTTGTTCGTCGGTTCGGTGTTCGGCTGGTTAAGCAAACGAGCCGAACACTAACAAACTTTTTGAGCTCGAAATATAAACGAACGGAACATGAGCTGATCCTGACCTCGCTCGTGTTCGGCTCGTTTACACTGCTAAAGCTTGATTTAGAATTAAATGACAGAAATACAGGCGGAAACTATTTGAAGTTAAGCAATCGCGAACCATTCATTTATTTCCCAAAAATAATAAAAAAAAATCAGATCTGTGGGACCCAGCATTTCAAATTCAAAACCAGTTCGGTGGGAAAAAAATAACCCACTTTTTGTAATTACTTCTTTCCACAAAATTCCACGTGTCTATAAGGACAACGGGCCATGTCAGACAAGTTTGTGGGACCCTAGTTTTGTACGTTCTCTGCTTCAATCGTTCGCTGAAAATGCTGTTCGCTGTTTTGCTCTATTAATTCTCAACACAGCTGTGGGCCAGTGGCTGTTTCCAAAGAAGTCACGCTAATTGTGAACTCTAATGCTAATTTTGAAATTAACATAAGATAGGGATACTAATTGTGAACTCTAATGCTAATTTTGAAATTAACATGAGATAGGGATACTTATATAGAGGCCATCCGAAACATTAATATTTACAAAAAGATCACCCAGGTGGTTTTTTTAAAATGTGATATATTTTTGAGCGTTACACTCAAACTATTAGGGCTGTCAGAAAAGCTCATTGCTCGCGAACAGTTCGTGTTCGACTCATCGGGGAGTTTGTGTTGGATTCGTTTGGTAAGCAAACGAGATGAACGCGAACAATTTTTTTTTGTTCGGTTTATGAATAAACCAAACAGAAACAGTTATTTGTTTGATCGTATTTGAATCGTTATTGTTTGAAATATAAAATAATTTAAAAAAATTATATGTAAAAAATTTATCATATTTTAAAAATAATTATATACTCTAAAAATTGATCATATTAAAAAAAATAAATCATATAAATTATAATATGATCTTCATGTTCGACTCTTAGCTTATATTAAATTCTATAATTTCGTATTTATCTTCATGTTTGTCTCTTAGATTTATTTAATTTCTTTAAGTGAAACCTAATTTTTGGGAGTTAAATCTCGTATATTGCCTCTAGATTTGAATTTTTTTGGATGAGATATGACATTATGGTTTTATTGTTAGCTGTGCTTCGGCTATGTTGTATTTGTGTTAGTTGCATTTGTGTTATGATTCATACAGGTTTAAGCATTAATTTCATATAGGTTTAAGCTTTTGAAAGATTTTGAACAATTCGAACAATACAAACAATACAAACAAATTTGTAACATTTCGAACAATTCAAATAATTTGAATAATTCGAACATTTCAAACATATTTCAAAAAAATCAAACCGAACATGAATAGTAACTGAACGAACAATTTCAAACACGATCCTATGTCAAACACACGTAATTTCAAATGAACCGAACGCGAACACGGGCTCTGTTCGTTCGTGTTCGGTTTGTTTACACCCCTATAAACTATTGAGAATTTGATACCAATGTAAATATGGATTGTACTTTTACCATGAATTTTGATACTTAGTGAGAATTTGAAATATGGAGGAAAGAAAGTGGTTAATATCTAAATAACAAGTTTCGGAGGTGGCTTTTATGTAATTTCCCGCATATATTAATGCATTTTTATATAATGCGTACAATTAAACGAACTTTTAAATTAAAATTCATAAATTTTAATGAAATTATAGAAATTTAAAATTCAAAATTTAAAATTGATGCAAACAAAACATGCCCAACCCATGATTGATGAATGAGTAGGTTCAATTTTGCCCCATCATCATTAAGATATGATATCTTCAATTATTAATAATAATTATTGCATTTGATCATTTAATTAATCCATTTTTTTATTATCATGTCATCATTAAATGTTATTATTGCTGCATACATGTATGATTTATGCTACAAAGATTCAAACCTAACTAAACATAATTATAAACTTTAACATTTAACATGCCTTTGTTTTTAAATAGGTATATAGAAGTTCCGCACGTCGTGACTGTTGGTAGAGCCGTCTCTTTGAAGATCGCAAGTTCCATCAGATCACGGGTTTGAATCCTCTCTGAATTCACTGGTTGTGAGGGAGGTGACACATGAGTGTGATTGGAGGCTCGTATAATAGCCACCGACCATTTTTTTTTAACTGTGTGTGTGTATATATATATAGAGAGAGAGAGAGAGAGAGAGAGAGAGAGAGAGAGAGAGAGATTTACATACCTATCACTCAATTCCTATGCATTTACATATCTAAAACCTATACTCTGAGCTCTACCTACATAAGAAAATGTGTATTTCATT